ACCAAATATATCATTGATTAACAGATAGAAAGTATCACGTGAAAACAAATATTACAAACCTTTCACAACAGGTGCCATCTGTTTTTGTATATAAAGTGGTGAGTCCTTAGGACACATCTCATACATCTGAAACCTATATATTTAATGGCTAATTCTTTATCATCGGTTATTTCCCTTTCTCGTCTGGGTGTTATTTATGTCGCTTTCGGTCAGTTGTAAGGAAGCTTTAAACAACTACATGTTTTAGATAATGATAACCTAATATGGTTTATGAAGAAATGTGAAAAAGAACAGTGATCGATTTTTTAAAAAAGTCTTTAAACAATACATTTTTTTTAAAGGACATAAAACACCAACCCTTTCAGATTCCAGATGATGGATCAGATGCCTATAGGAGAAGTAAAAATCCCCTGTCGAACGGTCACACTCGCCGTGAGCCCTGTGTGTTGATCAGGTAGAAGGAATAATCCTTCAAATTTTGTATAAAAACTGAATATGCGAGGAAGGTCATTATAACGACCACAGAAAATACGAAATGATAGTTTTCAACGAAAAGATGAAATTTCTTTAATATGTATATAAATATAATTCAAAATTGTCATTCTCTTGTGATTTTCATCCTGTTTTCAATCTGATTTAAGTACTTAAAAAACGGTGACATTGGCCATTCAGAAGACTACCTATAAGTATAATATGATAATTATCACCCCATGGTTTCTTGCCCAAATGTCTAGTAAGGTACCTTAGTTTTTGTGAGGAAACTTGTCTAAGTAGCATATAACTTCAATGGCAAATTCTTTGAAAAAAATTTTTTTTCAACGAACCTTAGGATTAATATGTCGAACTTATTACTAGAAGTACAAACCGGTTTTCTTTATGCATTTTAAGCTCAATATATCTTTTCTTCTTATATCTTGATGATTCCTGTTTTCGTCCCAATTTTTCGTCCCATTGAATCGAGATAATGAAAAAAACACTTCCGCGTTTATAAATTTAACGGTCACAAAGTTACGAAGATACAGTGATAAACAGCATTTGCTGTACAGAAGTAAAGCATATGGAGGCTTTGTAAGAAATCCGCATAAGTTTCTACTTACTTATTGAATAGAAAATGTGATGCCGCGGAATTATGACTCCATGGAAAAAAGTATGTTAACAGATATGAGAAGTGTTTGTTAATTTACTAGCATTGTAGTGTTAAGCAATAAGGAACTTTTAGCTCTTTATCTGAAGGACCTCATGTATTGGATAAAATACACTGAGATGAACCTCTGTTGTCGTCGTCAGTCTCGTTATCATTTAATTCATAGACTACTATTGAAGTTTGTTTTTCTTTTGCAAAAACGCAGGAGGAAGAAAAAGAAGAGCCTACATATCATTGAAGTCATTTATGCCTTAACTAAATAATGGTAATAATTCCACATCAACACGACAAAATCATATGGAAACACATTTCACACACCAGATATGATGCCATGTATAAACAAGGGATTGTCTATCGTATCTAATTATGCGTCATAAATTACTTTCACATTCATCTTGTGCATAAAAACAAATTTATTTATTTATGAATATATATAAATAATGTAATGATAAAAATGTCTAAAATTTCGGCTAAAAGAACCCTCTTTCTCTTTTTTGAAAATCATTTCTTTTTTATTTATCATTCAAACATATTTGCAGAATATGTCTTCAACATTTTAGCAGAGACGGTGATAGTTTCAGGAATACAGCTTATGAGAGAACATAACATAGTCATCAATATTTTACAATTTCTTGGCGACTTCAGGGGGGGGGGGGGCTAAAGGCTTCTTGACCACCTCTGACAAAACAACCTCGACTGTGTTCTACATGTGTCCAAGAGACCTCTCTTTGAATGTCACGGTCGGTTAAACTCGGTCATATATTTTTAATCGTAGGGAAGATTTATTCATCAATTAAAAATCATATACATTGTAGGTAAACAAAAAGCAACCTGTTATTTTCTAACACAATATAAGACTACAAGTAACTAGAATTCATGTTTATTTTTTAAACACATTTTTCATTACAGATGAGCATTAGGAAAAGTTATTGCCATGAGTAATTATAGTATTATAGATAAAAAAAAAACTAAAAGAAAACTGTGACATATTGTCTAGAACCAATCAGATAGTGCGTTGTATTAGCATATTATAATGAGGTATAAAATAGCGATATAAAAAAAAATATATAGAAGGTAAAGAGGTAAAATTTACCCTGTCTATCAAATAGTATGATAAAGAAAGGAAAAGGCTACGATTTTTATGAAATTTTAATGTCCGATGAGGAATTATGTTCCCAAAAAGTAAGACAAGAGTTTCCAAGGCAATTGAACACTCCATAGTAGTATAAGGGGTCTGGATGGGTGGGTCAACTGAGTGCACTTTTGGGGCTGTGGGGGGATAGGTGGGTCAAGTGAGTGCACTTTTGGGGCTGAGGGGGATAGGCGGGTCAAGGGAGTGCAGCCCCTGTGAGGGATAGGCGGGTCAAGGGAGTGCAGCCCCTGGGGGGATAGGTGGGTGAAGAGAGTGCAGATTAGGGGGTCTGTGGGGGATAGCTGGGTCAATTCACTACAACCCTAACCCTAACCCTAGGGGGCTTGCATCCTTTATATATCCTATACGGGGTGTTTACACTGTGTTTACATTATATACTTTACTCTGCTACTACGATTTTGTTGCATCAAGAATTTAATTATAACGTTGCATCATCTTTTTACCCAGCCTAGCCTAATCGGTTCAAACTGATTTCCTCAAAACAATAAAAACCTGGATTTTTTACTGAAAACAATTACAAAAACACACATGGTTTATATACCTTTACTGTAAGGGCCCTGTGCATCAATACGTTTTACCTGCGTTTTTATACCTGTTGCATCATCTGTAAGGGGGCCGTGTGCAAAACATACCATAGACTTACCTATGCATTGTGACGTCATAAACTTGGCAGTGACGTCATGTTAGTCCTTCACAAGCCGCGATGGCTGCTTATTTTGACACAATAACACAGACTTTCACAGCGCTTGAGACTTCATGTAATAACAGTATGGTCCTATGGATTTCAGTACCAAAACTGATTTTCTACCGTTTTTCTTCCAAGAAAGTTCTGAACAGCTGAATCCTGGATCAGCCTAGATGTTATTTCACTGGATTATTTAATGAATATTACTCTACTGAGTTACCTGGTTACATGGTAAGTTTTAACAAACTTTTCTTTATACATTTTCTATGAAGGTCATCTTTGTATTTATTCATTATTACTGTGTTATATACCTTATGTTTAGAACATTCATATAAACACTGCCATTGTTTACCCTGAAATACACTAGGACACTAAAAGATCCTTAAAATGTTGATAAATCTTTTTTGCATGAGTTATGATCATATTGTCTCACATTCCTTTTATTGGATCAGTATTCTAAATATTCTTATGAGGAGACTCCTAGCATATCTTATAAAATACTGATACATGCTTTTAAAACAACTAAAGTGATATTCTCAGTTGTTATTTCTAATATTTCTATGAATCTTTAATCACAGTGACCAAAAGAAGGATATGGAGATAATCAATCAGATCATATTATGCCAATGAATCTTTTGTCTCAAATCTTTTTTAATGAAATATACAGAATCTTTTGCCTTATTTGTCACTCATATTTTTACATTCTGGTGCAACAGTGGCCCAATGAAAGTGGGAAAAACTCGGTCTGAGCATCTCTGTAAATCTATAAACATGTGTGCCCCCCTTTTTTTTTAAACCTTCATGTATATACATGTATGTATTTTATTTAGTCAGTGATTTCAAACATCAACATGTAAAATATATATTGAGTACTTTAAAAGTGAATATGCATGATTTTTATACCCTGAGTATTCTGACATACTAATGGTGACATCAGTTAAAAGAGTAATTAGTTATGTAAAATTCAGTTTATATGAATGTAAATGGGGTATTTATTCTCAGTTCATGTAAGGTATAATTTGCATGTAACCCAGAGTGTATTTAATATTACTATGATGGGTCATTCTGTGATTGAATTTAAATCAGAAAAAATGTTTACTAAATTTTGGTAAAATACATATGGTATCTTTTACATTTCTGTCCTGTTTGTCTGTCAATTGTTGCTTTACTTCCTTTGTAAAATGAGGTTAATTTGTGTATCACTGAATATTGTATGCTTTTTTTTCAGGATCAGCTAAGATGTTGTTTCACTGGATTATTTAATTGGGCATATAATTGGATAATTCTGGTAAGTTTGTCTTTGTTTTGTTTACATTTCCTATGAAGGTCATCTTTGCATTTAACCATGATTATATGGTTTAATTTAATTACTGTGTAATTCTTATGTGATCTAATATCTCTAACATTCATATAAGCACAGTCTTATTTTGTCTAAAATATACTAAGGAAACTTCATATTGTTAATAAGTCCTTTTGCATAAATTATGATATAATGTCATAATTCATTATGTCTGTTACCCATGGAATTCAGACTTACTAAATTGTGATCTATAAGGAATGTAATAAAAGAAAAAGTAAGAATCTACAAAAGGTTTATCCTTGTTTTGATTCTAAATATGTGGTATATATGGCATACATATATTTTCATTTTCACTTTTGTTTCTTGGTAATGAGCTTTTCAAAAAATGTAGGACTACATGTTGTATATGCTAATATCTTTTTGTATGCTGTACTGACAGGTATTAAACAAAATTGAATATGCTGTTAAGAGAAAGTCTGTTAGTGTCTAAAAATTACACTGATAATCATTTTGTATTTGTGATATTAATACAGTAACTGTGCTTCTTTTGTTATCTAAAGATAACATGATGAACTATTTTCATGAACTTTTTGGCACTGTATTTAAACATGCAATGTTTCATGCAGTTCCTTGTCATATTAACAAAATGATTATATTTTCTACAGTCCTCAACCTGGAAGATATGTTTTATTCCTAACCATCTATAATCCATTCTCTATGAAGTTCAGCCTGTCTGCCCAAATTCCTTTGGAAATACATAGTTAGTCAACCAACATAGAAACAATCAAACTTGAAGGTAAAATTTCAATGAGATATCATTTTAATTTTTTTAATTCTGTTTTATTTAAATGTTTATATTTTAAAATGGATAAAAAAATGGATAAAAAACATCTGATAATGGAAATCAATATCATAAAGATAGTAAGTTTTTTAGTGTCTAAATAATTAATCTGATAATGATTTTATTTATGATATTAATACAGTAGTTGTGGTTGATTATTATCTATAGATAACATGATGAACTTTTCTCATCTGGAGTTAATGTTAAAAACAATTTTTTGAGATTAAAAACAAATATTTTCATGATCTTTTTTGGTATTGTACATGTTGTATTTAAACATGCAATGTTTCATGCAGTACTCTGTCATATTAACAAAATGATTATATTTTTCTACAGTCCTCAACCTGGAAGATATGTTTTATTCCTAACCATCTATAATCCATTCTCTATGAAGTTCAGCCTGTCTGCCCAAATTCCTTTGGAAATACATAGTTAGTCAACCAACATAGAAACAATCAAACTTGAAGGTAAAGTTTCAATGAGATATCATTTTAATTTATTTAATTCTGTTTTATTTAAATGTTTATATTTTAAAATGGATAAAAAAAAAATGGATAAAAAACATCTGATAATGGAAATCAATATCATAAAGATAGTAAGTTTTTTAGTGTCTAAATAATTAATCTGATAATCATTTTATTTATGATATTAATACAGTAGTTGTGCTTGTTTATTATCTATAGATAACATGATGAACTTTTCTCATCTGGAGTTAATGTTAAAAACAATTTTTTGAGATTAAAAACAAATATTTTCATGATCTTTTTTGGCATTGTACATGTTGTATTTAAACATGCATTGTTTCATGCAGTACTCTGTCATATTAGCAAAATGATTTTATTTCTACAGTCATCAACATGGAAGATATGTTTTGTTCCTAACCATCTGTAATCAATTCTCTATGAAGTTCAGACTGTCTGCTCTTCCTTTGGAAATACACAGTTAGTCAATCAACATAGAAACACACAAACTTGAAGGTAAAGTTTCAATGAGATACAATTGTTTATTTTTATTTATTTATTTATTTATTTATTTATTTATTTATTTACATATGCATTTTTATATTTTTGAATTGATAAGTAAATGATATATGATTTTTTTTTTAAATAAAGAGGGCTTGGTGGTCATGGTCATGTTTAAACTCTATTGATATCCTTTAGAAGAAGAAGAAAAGGCATAAAAATTCATGATCAAATTTTTAAAACTAAAATGTATGAAATTTTTCTTTGCCAAATGATAGTTAACAGCTGAAGATAGCATATTTATAGAATAAGTTAAATATGGCTAATTTGTTAACCCCCAGCTTCCTTAATAGCATAATTGGTAAAGATAGGAAGTTTTGACTTCAATTGCTGATGAATTCTGAATTTTCCATTTAATATTAACATTCTATCAAAGAGAAAGAATACTATAATGTGGCTCATTAGGATGACCAGAAAAGAAATCTTAATGACCCTCTTGACTATGTATAAAGATTGTAACCTTATAACTGATGTAAGATGATCTGATTGTGTGGAAATAAAATTTCCTGGTGTTTCTACTACCCAAGATCTTCTTATGAGTGTATGGAACTGCTGTAATCCTTCTCCTGTTTATAAAAATAATACCTTGGAGCATGACACTTTATTCATAAAAGGCACTTTCAATATCATTTCTATGAGTTTGTGTTCTTTCTTTTTAATAATCTAGTGTTATATCTCCTTTAACCTCATTAATATGTATGCTTCCAACATCTTAGATCTGTCTGTATAGTTTCTTCAGCTCTTTGAACACAAATACCCTGATTCAATCTTTTGAGGTAAACATCATAGAGACATCATAGATGATTATCAGAGTGTATATATCACAATCTTGACCATAAGGTCAATTTAAATGGTCAAAGGCACAACAAATGAAAGTGAAAACTTTTCTTTTTTTTTTTATCAGAATACATAATTTTGTAATAAACAAACACTGGAAAGTTACTCTCATAATGAGCCTTAATGTCTTCCAAGAGTTCAGTTTGGACTTCCTCCATTAATCCTTGTATCTTGTAATCCTTGTATCTCCAATGGTTTTGTGGGCTAAAAATCATGTGTCTTTAACAATCTTTTTTTTCTGACAACTGTTTTCTCTTATCATCTATAAACTTGACTTCTTCTCTAGTCAAAGGTCTTTCAGGGTAATCCAAGTAATTCTCACCCTCTTTTGGTAATAAATGGTTATATTCTTCATTGGCTTCTTCTGCAATCAAGGGTCTTTCTATGTAATCTCTGACAACATTAGGATCACCCTTTTCTGGACATAATTGGTTATATTCTTCTTGAGAAATGATCTCAATAGTGCCATCTTTTTTATTTTAACTGGTATACCTCTGTCTACATCTTTCTCTGAAAGAATTCTCTCTCCGAACTGAATTTTACTCATTCCTTTACTCTTTTCTTTACTAGAGGTGTTACCCATGGTTAATATGAAAAGTCAAAATCTTATGTTATAACTTGTTTTTATACCCTTTTTGTCTATATGTAGAATTCCATCAAGCTTATATTACATTACAATTTTTTTTTCAACTACGACATTATTTTTTTATTTTTTCAGGATTCTCTAGTGAGAGGTTATAGAAATGATCTATGTCTACTCTTAGAATGGTGAAAGACTCTCAGATTATGCAAAGACTAACAGAATATCCTCTCTTGGAACACTGAAACAAGAAAACCAAACTTAAGAGGATGCAGGATTTAAGAAGAACATAAATATGATTTCCATCGAATTTAACCAGTACGATCATAGACTGTGGTTTATACAGGATGACAAAGAAAGGACCCAGGATTGTATGTTTCACTGTCAGACACTGACTATGGATAAAGTGTAATCATTTATCAAACTGAGATCTAGTCAAATCAAGTATTGAAAATATGATTTTCTGATAGCATGAGCTCTTTAAAAACTATTTCTCACTGACCTCAAAGTATCTGAATGTGACTTTTATTTTTACCAATTCATATTGAAGACTGTTGTTATGTATGGGAATTACACATTTAAACCTTTTATTTTTCATCTAATTTTTACAACCCCCTAGAAATTACACAGATATCCAGATGCTGGATTTAATGGTATTATTTAACTTTCCTGGAATTGTAAATATATTTTGTTTTTGTATGTATCATGTTTAATTTTGAATTTAAAATTTGTCTCAATAGGACCCCCATAAAGATGTAAGTGTCCCATAATCTGTGATGCAATATTATCTCAGATGTTATTATATAAAATAACGCTTAATTAGTTTAAAGGATTTATTTGAAGTTTGGCGTATCTGGTCGCGGTGACATATGACAAATTTGGGAGCGGCCGCCGGGTCGTCTCCCCAACAATCAACAACAAATGTGGCGACCCCAAATGGGCTAAATATTGTGCACTGGGTAAATTGCGCGAATGCACAACGCCACGCAAAATGGATACAATGGACCAATATCCCATTTAAATAGTATCCATGTCAAATGAATGGGCAACAATGTCATCAATGTTAAATCATTACAATATTGTTCAATGTCCAATATCCCATTAACATATCCAGGTATTAAAAATGTTGAGATTTGATTTATCAATGTTTAAAATCAAAGTAAATGCGCAAATAGCGCCACAATGCGCAAATAGCGCCACAAATGCACAAATAGTGCCACAAATGCGCAAATAGCGCCACAAGATGTCATACGATGTTTAAAATCAAAGTAAATGCGCAAATAGCGCCACAATATGTCATACGAGTTAACAACAGCACTCGTTCATGTGAGGTGGGGTTGACGATTACGAACTAACATCATCTTCATGGCACAATCCTGATAGAAAGACATCTGTAACTGCACCGCGACGTTGACGGATGACGGTTGTGTTACGTGCGTCTCGACGTTTCCTGAAATATATAATGCAAAAACACGGCAGTATCATGATAACAAAAACACACATATAATTTTCAACAGTGAACTGCATAAGAATGTGGTGGGAGGGTGGGTTTTTTAAAATATCGATCCAAAATTGAAATGATTGTATCGCCTGAACCAACCTACCCATGTGCTCGTCTGCTAACTTAGAAAGGAGGAAATTACGTCACGTACCAAGTATATATAGTCACTGTGGCATTTCTAACAAAAAAAACTGGTATGCACAACCCGGATTATTCCGCGAAGCACATACTCAATCTAAAATGAACAATGCACATGTATCACTGAGATAAAATCCCATATTCCTTGACGTTGCTTGAATATGGGTTATTATCTCAGATGTTATTATATAAAATAACGCTTAATTAGTTTAAAGGATTTATTTGAAGTTTGGCGTATCTGGTCGCGGTGACATATGACAAATTTGGGAGCGGCCGCCGGGTCGTCTCCCCAACAATCAACAACAAATGTGGCGACCCCAAATGGGCTAAATATTGTGCACTGGGTAAATTGCGCGAATGCACAACGCCACGCAAAATGGATACAATGGACCAATATCCCATTTCAATAGTATCCATGTCAAATGAATGGGCAACAATGTCATCAATGTTAAATCATTACAATATTGTTCAATGTCCAATATCCCATTAACATATCCAGGTATTAAAAATGTTGAGATTTGATTTATCAATGTTTAAAATCAAAGTAAATGCGCAAATAGCGCCACAAATGCACAAATAGTGCCACAAATGCGCAAATAGCGCCACAAGATGTCATACGATGTTTAAAATCAAAGTAAATGCGCAAATAGCGCCACAATATGTCATACGAGTTAACAACAGCACTCGTTCATGTGAGGTGGGGTTGACGATTACGCCACATGCTCGCAAGAGCATCCGCCACCAATGACACAAATTGGTGACGGCGTCGTCACTTCCCCACCTCTGTCACCACTAACCAGCACCTTTTATAGTTAAGCTTATTTTTGTCCTAATTATTTAAGTAGCTATGGTGATGATAAAGGTACTCCTTTTACTTACCTTATTAATACTTTCCTTATTTATGGAAAAGCACGGCAATTATTCTAACTTAAAGACAGCCAAATGATTTTGACAAAAAACATTGTGTGTTGCTTGCTATTGAATCGAGGCATGATATCGGGATTAGATGGATGAATTTTCTAATGCGACAGACTTGATAATGTGACAGTAATGTGACAGTATATTGTATATTTACAAGGATGGCAGTTGGACATTATATCTACAACTCTTTCTACCTAACATAGTTTTGTAAGATCTGTGAACAATTCTATTGCGGTATTTGTGCACGATATTGATTCTTGTTCAATGATGCTGAAAAGGACATATTCGGGGGGGGGGTGGGGGGGGGGGTAAAGATGTAAAACTGATAAGAATCACACATTTTCAAATTTAAAAATGTGGAATTATTTCTAAATGTACGACTTGCACAACCGTTAGCAACCAAGTACAATGAGTTTAAAACAACTTCGGATTACAGAACATAGATAACAATGGATAGCAAAGGAAATATATAATATGATTGTTTTTATCGTTTTCTTGACTTTTACAGGGCAATAGAGGGAAATTTATACTGCAGTGGTAATAAGTTCCATCCACTGATCCAGTGACATAACCATATATAATCAACAGGTCTTGTTTGTACCTACAAATCAATTTGTCGTAATCTAACATCTAGGTTTGTATCTATGCTTGAACACAACCGAGAGATGTGCGTAGTCAGAGCACTTGTATTAAGAAATTACAATGAAAGTATATGTTAAACTGTTCTCAGCATGTGAGCACGACAGGCCATGGGCCTGTATGGTATATATCTTCTCTCATGTATGGAAAACTAATTAATGCCTTATTGTAAACGATGTAAAAAAATCATGCTTATTGATTAAACATGAGAAATCATATGATTTGTATGCTAAAGGGGGATTGATAATTAGTATTTGACCGATAATTACAGGCTTATTGAGCCTGAGTGATGATATTATACCTATTTAAGATCATGGAAATAGGTGTTTGACTTTCCCTTTCTGTTAGATTTTCCATTCCTTTCAAGACGCTTAGACTTAAAGAGGAGAATACCGGGTATTAAGATGAATCTATATTAGAATGTTCTTAACTTGACCGATGTTTAAGTTACCCTTAAATGGGGTAGTTCCCCGATTGCACTTATAAAGTCCCCTAATCCCGGTGTACGCTTTTCTCATCCTCGACTATAAAGTTTGCTTTATAATCGTTTAAGTAACTTCTTACCCTTTGTCCTAAAAGACGGCTACAGGTATAGGCAATTGACATGATTGCTACCACACTAATTAGATAGAGGCAGTAAATTGCTTAAGGGATAATAGGATCTGCTCATGTGGTATTAGCCACCCTAAGTTCATTTTTTCTTGATTAAACTTTACTATTACAAGCCCATTGTGGCTATATACGGCGTTACGAATATATGTTGAGCCTAAAACCTACACTGTTGTAAATTTGACAAAAAGATGATCCAATGAGGTACAAAGCTCTGTCAGATGATGATGGCTTATTAAAAATAAGAACCAGATATACAAGAATTATTTTTTTTTATTTTGACATGTAAAGAAAGTCTCGTCCTAATGGATTCACCCCCGATGTCGGTGAATAGCTGTAGAGTATCATGAGAACTCTCTTCAGTATCATTCTTAGCCCGAAATTCCAATCACATATGAATGTTTAGTTATCTAGCTTTAGTATCCTATTGACAAGGTTTAAAATCTAATGCCAAACATATTACAGTAAGGCCTGGTTGATGCACGGCTACCCGGTATGGCCCTGGGGGGGGGGGAGGGGGGGGGGGTATGATAAGATTTGCGTTTTGTAGCTGTGAATCGAATTTACATAATGTGTCTATTTCTAGCTCCAAGAACACTAAACATGTTGTGAACCCCTGGGCTTTATCCATTTTAAGATGTATCCCTATTTGAGCACACAGGCAAGTGTCTGCCCATCCTGCAAAAATATTGATATTTTAATAGATGAATGTTGTGTTTTACCTTAACCTGCTTATTTTGTAAGCGACGATTACACTAATGTAGAGAATGTATAACATATTATAATATGGAAATACTAGTATTTTGTCCATGGATTAGGCTTCCCTAAAATAAAGTCCTATCAGCTTACTTCCTATTGTATATATACAATATATGCGTTTGCCTTATCTGTTTTAGAGAAAATGGTCCTGTAAGTCTTCGAAACATGGCATCAACTGTGTCAAAAGTTATTCAGTGTTAACTGTTGTTTCCCTTGGGTCTATGTGTGCGTTAGTGTTAAATGGAAGTGGGTAGGTAAAAAGCGTGATCGAGCGCGAGCAACCATATCGTCCCGGTTGGGGATATTTTGAGGGATGGGTGTTTGTAATCGGGTCAAATTATATCCCCAGACTCAACTACCCCTTACTCTCATTTGGCCGGAAAAACGTCCCCATTCTGATTTTCCGATACGAAGTTAGTAGGAGAAATAGTTTTCGTCCACGTTTTTAATAACTCAAATTCTGATTTAAAACCCTTGTCCAAAGCACTGCACGACTGCTCGTTTTAGGTCCAAAAGAATTTTGAGAGTACCTGAATTATGACTTAGTGTGCTTAATCTAAGACAGTAAAGGCGTTGATTATGAGATTTAAATGACTGTGCATTCCTATGCACTTGTGTTGACCTTATGCAAGTGTTAGACTGACACATGCTATATTTCATGCACCTGTAATCATACGGATAATTTTTCCTGTAACGTTATTGGTTTTGTAATTAGCATAGAATGTTTTTTATTGTTATTATTTGTTATTTTTATTTTGTTATTACACCCTAAGAAGGTGGGCCACTTATTCGTGACCACCCCTTAGGTCTAAAGTTCGCCTTTTGAATTATCCAAAATTGAAATGATTGTATCGCCTGAACCAGCCCACCCATGTGCTCGTCTGCTAACTTAGAAAGGAGGAAATCACGTCACGTACCAAGTATATATAGTCACTGTGGCATTTCTAACAAAAAAAACTGGTATGCACAACCCGGATTATTCCGCGAAGCACATACTCAATCTAAAATGAACAATGCACATGTATCACTGAGATAAAATCCCATATTCCTTGACGTTGCTTGAATATGGGTTAATATCTTGAATATTTGTTGTCATCCCATATACTTCATACTTACTACA